TTTAAAAGCATAAGTTTGTTATTCAATGTATAGTGGTTATAGGTTAAGAATATTCTGTACTTATGTACTCATGATCTGATAATGTATTCATGATTATAATGTACTCATGACAGTTCAGTGATTACAGTTTATACAAGTACATAGTGTTAACCACATTGGGAGGGCAACCCATGAGACCTTTTACAAATAACTGAGTATATAAAGGAGACTATTGTCCCATATATTGCATGACAATGTGATCCACTTAACCACTGAAAACAATTTTTGAATGGGGTACTTCATCACAGTACCCCTAGTACAAACTTTAAACCTAACATACATGTAATATATATACCATGCCTTCGAGGTCTATATCAGTAATATGAGACCCGAGTCCCGAGATATCTTCCCGAGGCGAAGCCGAGGGAAGATATTAAGGGATGAGGGTCTCATATTACTGATATAGACCGAGAAGGTATGGTACATATAATATATTCTATACTTACTGTAAGATCAAATCGCACGGGACTGCCATTGCGCATTTTATGATTGGTAGTGACAACCGATGGAGTAAATCTGACTAAAAGAGGTCTGCTCTATTCATTAGAGTGTCCTTTGCTACTTGCAAGAAACTGGCTGCTAAGAACAGAAAGATAAGGCCTAAAGTTGGGCAGCAAAGAGAAAGAGAAGAGGCACTGAGGCAGCCATTTCTTCACCACGTGGCACTATGAATATCATTAAAAACCGCGAGGGGTGTATATCGAGGGCTAGGGTGTATATATCAGAGGCAGGGGTGTATATGCTTAATATACTACCCGGCGGTGCCTTTGATCTTACAGTAACTATAGTATATGTACATGTAAGTGTCTCTGAATTAGCAAAGCCTTCAAAGCATAGCTTTATTAGTCAATGTGTGGTGTAAATGATTCTGACTGAAATTGGATTTTAAAAAAATTTTCAAATGTTCTGTTCTATTATACATGTACATGTGCAGATATTTCCAAGTTAAAAATGATAATTACACTCATTCTCGATCAGATTTAGTGCATGTACCGTATTTCCTTAAATAAAAGCCCGGGCGTCTATTTCCTAAAATGGTAATAAAATAAATAAAATAAACTAAATAAATAAATAAAATAAACTTAACTAATAAAATAAACTTAACTAATAAAATAAACTTAACAAACTAACTTGTGCTTATAAATGTATAATATATAAATGTTGTTCTTTTTCAATATTTCCATGTCTTTCATTTTGTTATTTATTGGGAAAATTAAATAAAACCTTAAAATTAATACACCCAATCAAAACTGGATTTAATGTACATGTAAATGTACGTTTTAAAATGTTTTTTTAATAATTATAATTCACTTATTGTTCGTAGGAGACGTGTTACTATAAAAACAGACAAAGAAGACAAAATTGAGGAAGAGAAAGAGAAAGAAGACGAGAAACCGTCAGATATGGAGAAAAGTGACGTCACTTTACAGCCACACTCATCTGCCACGCCCCCTAAGAAACGCCAGGCACTTTCACCAGCAGTTGCTGAATGCCAAAGAGCAATTTACGCAGCCTTTTTATGGCAAGAAGGACTAGTACATGATGCAATGGCTTCTTCGTTATACATCAAATTCCATCCATCAGTCATCAAGGAGGAGGAGTTGACCACGCCCACTAATGGTGAAAAGGGTGGGGCTGCAGTTTCTGTCGAAGGTGGTAAGAGTGATGAGAAGTTGCCAGCGACTTTGCATCATTTGGTGACTTTTTGGGAGGAAATGTCACAGAAGGTCATCGATCAGTCCTCGCTGTCTTTCTCTCCGCCCAAAGTCCCGTCGTATGCTCAAGAATTACTCAAGAGATACGAAGAGGAAAAGAAGGAAATGGAAAAATTGAAAAAAGAGAAGGAGAAAAAATCCGGTGGAGGTGCTTCGCCTGCTGGGGGTGGGGCCACTAAATGCGAGCTCTGTGATGTGTCCTTTCCTGATCCTGTTACTTACCACATGAAAGACGCTCACAGTGGGTGTGGCAATCATGCCAATGGGTGGGGCTATAATAGCCGGGGATCATACTGCTCTGGTTGGGCGGGTAATTGTGGGGATGGTGGTCGTGGGGGAAGCACTTGGTACCTGATGTGCAAGGAATGTCACGCAAAGTATTTAGCTCAAAAAGAAGAGAATAAGAAGAAGGTTGTCAAACCGATTTCAGTACCAAAGATGAAGACTCGTAAACCAGGCAAGGCTCGGTCCCTCCCAGTCATGAGCTCAGTTCAAGGAATGTTGTTAAACGCTAAGTTTCTGCTTGAGGTTTCCACTCGTCCTGTATCTGGTGAAGGTCCTAAATCAAAGACCACGCCTCTTCCAACCGGTGGAGCGGGCGTGCCTGATTTAGCTCGTCAAGTCTCAACTCCTGACGATTCTGTAGTGGGTGTGGTTTCAGACATAACGGAGACTTCCGTCTTCTCTCATCCCGACAAATCCAAAGAGGAGCCTCCCCTTCGCTCCTCTCTCCCTCGCCCCATCCCCGCCCTCGGCCGCTCGATCTCCATGGCAACCGGTGGTGCTGACCCGACAATGAAACGTACCTTTAGTGACAGTGGAGAAGAGCCCGTTCCTACTTTTAATCGTCAGCTGACCGGAGTGGGTCACAGAGGCAGTGAGGGGGTTTCAAGTAGTTTGATGCATAAGCCGTCGATGGCTCTGGCTAATTTGATGTACATGAGGTCGATAAGTAAGGATGATTCGGGTTACGAGAGGATTATGAAGTTCATTGGGACATATCATGATTTACTGGGACTGAAGACAACCATGAAGCATATGATGAGGATTGCTAGTCTTAGAGCCACTGCTCTTGAGGTGAGAGAGGGAGAGGGAGAGAGAGAGAGAGGGAAAGAAAGAGGAAGAGAAAGAGGGGGGGAGAGAGAGAGAGGGAGAGGGAGAGATGTTGTGTATGTATTTTTAAGAGAGATTACATGTACATGTACATAGATTGTATACAGTATTGTACTGATGTGACTAGAAATTTGGAGTGTAAAAATAATCTTAAAAATTTGCTTATGATTTGGCAATTTTGAAAAAATTTTGACCACATCCATAAACACCACGACCTTAAGTTGTAGTGAATGGAACTCATAGTCCACTAAATTTGCAAAAAAAAATTAATCAGCCAAATTTTCTAGCTACATATACATGTACATGTACATGTACATTAATTGACTGTAGTTTTGTTGTACACATACATGTACATCTCGTTATTTTTCCATCTTTTCTTTCTCACTCAGTTCTTTGAATGGTTGCTATTACAAGTGGACAGTCCTTCAGTGGTTCATGATATTCTCTGGCAGTTTGTCCGAAGTGTCTCTGATCACCCAATGATACAAGCAGCTGCTACTGCTAAAGCACTCAGGGAAGAGGAGGAGAGTGAAGAGAAAGAATCAGTAAGAGGAGGATTATATATAATACTATGTAATAATATACTTGTCAATTTTAGACACACATACCTGGTATTATGTATATGCATAATTACTGCATCTTCACTTGCATGAATATTACCATAGGAATGTTTTACTATACACACATATACTTGGCAGTGTCAGACCTGAACGTCTATTTGCACATGTACATGTATTATCAAGTTTTGGTGTGAAGATATTACACTACTACAGGAAAAATTAATAATGCACTCGTATGTACATGTACTAGTAATAGCTCATTACAGTTGTATTTTACATTTATTCTTTAGTAAAAGACCATTTAATTTTAGTAACTTAGTATTTATCTATCACCTTTCCTTCTCTCCCCCTTCTCTCCCTCTTTAGGAGTCCAAGGATTTAAGTTTGGGCAGGAATCCATTGACTGGTTTGGACGGGTCTGGTTTCATGATGCAGAAATTACGTAATGTGTTTCATTCATTTTTACAAACCATTGCAAATAAAATGAGCAAAGTAAGTCGTCAATCAGATGTACGTGTACAGGTACATATACACCTTCACAGTATATGTACATGTACTTGGGTGTACTTGCAATTACTGTGTTGCTAATTTTGCAGCTTAAAAAATGTAATCAGATCATAATTAGTTTTACTTTACAATAATTATTGTCCTAAATGTCATTGTCCACAAAATTAAATGTTGGCACTTCTCTCCTTCTCTTTCGCTTCTTTCCTTTTCCCTCTCTTTTTTTTCTTTCTCCCCCTCTCTCTCCCTCTCTCAATCTCCCTCCTTCTCACAGTTACCAGTGGGATCAGTGGCCCAACAGATTGCCCTGAGGTGTTGGTGTCTGGACTTCCAGTCCCAGGATCATTCCTTCCTACTTCAGAGTCATGTCTTTGCTAACATCAGTGAGGCACTCTCAGTCATGGAGGAAGTGGAGGGAGACAAAGTTGCTTCTAATAAAACTCAAGTACATCATATTAATCATACTGTGTTGTGTACAAGCCAATGCTAATTGCTTTATTCACATCAGAACAATTTTTATGAGCATTTAATTTAATTAATTAATTAATTTAATTAGTTAAATTAATTTAACTAATTTAATTAAAAATTAATTAAATTAATTTTTAATGAGCATTAATTGTATGAGTACTACACCATTGGATTTTGCCAATACTATGCATGTCTATGCTTTTTTTCCAAAAAATGGCTCTAAAATCACCCTACATTTTTATTACATTTTCTAATGCACATTGATGTCCTTATGCTGTGTAGAAAGTTTGAGTTGATTCCGTTAAGAAATTGTTAAGTTATGATTATTTTTAAAAATAGGCCAATTTTTTAAAAATACCTAAGGCTATATAGCCCATGGTTTTTCCAAAAAAATGGCTCCGAAATCACCCCAAATTTTTATTACATTTTTTGATATACATTAATGTCGTTATGCTGTGTAGAAAGTTTGAGCCAATTCTGACTAAGAATTTTTGAGTTACAGCCATTTTTAAAAACTAGCAAAATTTTGGAAAAAAGCAAAGACTACCGTATACTGGAATATTTTCGTGTCACTAAATTTTTTTTTTTTTTTTTTTTTTTTTTTTTTTTTTTTTTTGCAAATTTTGCATTTGTAAGATTTCACGAAATAATATTTTCGCGAATAGCCTGTAAACTCCACCACGTGGCAATGGAAATTTAGAATTTCGCGATTTTTATTTTCGCGACGGAGCAAAAAACGCGAAATTCGCGAAAATTTGGCTACTCAAAAATTTCCCAGTATACGGTATATTTTAGCCCATGCTTTTTCTTAAAATGCACCCCAAACTTTTATTACATTTTCTGGTACATATTCATGCCCTTATATACATGTACACATGTATATAAACATGTATACATGTACACATGTACATGTATGTGTAACTGTATTATGTAGCACTGTAAAAAATGTTTAATAACTCTTCTTTCTCTTCTCTCTATCTCCCTTCTCTTTATAGTCTGAGCCAGTAGTACAGTTAATGATCAATATATTGCATGAGGGTAAACTGAAAGTGTCCTCCAATGATGGAATGTCCAACAGTTTAACTGACGGATCTACTGAAACATTCTGGGAATCAAGAGATGAGCCACGAGGGAAACCCCGTACTATTACACTGGCTTATGAGAGGAAGATTAAACCATTTGGTGCCTGCATACACATTGACAATACTAAAGACTCTGGGGTTAGTGATTCTCAGTCTCATAATTTCAATACCCATACCGTGTACTTTGATAATGCTTGCACATTTACTTTCATGCTTCATTTTCTCTCGTCATTATTTATATTTTCATATTGTTGTTGTTGTTATTATTATTATTATTATTATTATTATTATTATTATTATTATTATTATTTATAGCAAAGAGTGGAGCAGTTAGCATTGTTGGTTGGACCAGATGAGGACGGACTTAAAGAAGTTGACAAAGTAATTTAAATTAATAATACATGATGCATGTGCATATGATGTACAGCTACATGCATGTACATGTGCATGTTCAATGCTTTCTTTTGATTTCATGGCTGACATTAAGTGGATGGAACTTTAATGATTTCAAGGGTTTTAATTTCATGATTGGCCCCAAAAACCACAAAAATATAGCGCAAAAGAAAGTACATGTATGTCTTATTATGCATAGTTATGTTACTATGCATAGTGATTATTATTAATCAATCACTCATCATCATTATTGTTGATGTTATAATGACCAGCTCGCAGTGCAGACAGTAACACTTGATAATTTTGATTGATTTTGAATAAATTTTTGATATAAGCCAAGATAACTAACTAATCAAAAATGTAATATTACAGGTAAGCAAAAATAAACTGTGCATGTCCTATAGTGTTGCATGAGTCCTAAAGTTCTTGGCTTTTAGCTGATGAGCTTGATTACCGGCTCTCACAGTAATGGAAACTGAAATTGTCAGCATTCCTGATTGCTTTAGCAGGATCTTCACGAGCAAAACGCTTACAATTATCAACACCATATCCTTCATCATCACGACCAGCAAGAGCATGAGCCCATTCGTGTACCAGTGTACGCTCTTTAGTGTAGCCAGTACCCCTGCAAGCTGTTGGCTGACTGTAGAAACTATTACAAAGATAAGTAGTTGTATAAGAATAGGATTTATAGGTATATGCTATCC